GTTTACCCAACCCAATGTTTAACAATTCATGTATTCAATTAGTCTCACATTCGCAGACGCTAATAAAAAATTGTACAAGGCTAAAATGTCTAATTTGCTCGTGTATGAATTGTAGCAAAAAGTGTCCTACATTTAGCTATCATCATGTCGTTTATTAAATTTTTAAATACTTAATTCTTTGTGTGCTAAAAATACTAATTTCGTAAGGGTGGCAACTTTGACCCGTCTCGTGTCCGATATTTTTCATATTGTATTTATGGCACTTTTTCAAGATCACGAACCATGTCTACTTTTAGAAATATTGACGACTTGCCAACCAACACTGGGAAAGATCACTAATTCAGGGATTTAAATTAATTGTAGTGCAACTTTGTGGTGGTTTTGGCCGTTTTCCAGCCTTGTTAACGTTTTGTTTCACTCAAGTTTTGATAATTTCAAAATACAACACGTGCTTGACTAGGTATTATACTTGAATAAATATTGATGGATTTGTAAGATACGCAGATTCTTCAAGCCACGTGTCCCCCACATTCGGTTTTACACATGGCTTGCATAAAATATGCCAAGTGAGCGATAAAATGACGAGTTGCTATAAAATTCCAATAAACAACTAGCACTAATTGAAAAATCAAAACAAGAAAAATCATTCGTGATAAGTGGAAGGATTCGGGGTCCTATTGATATCATTAAGGACTGATATAAATGTGGGTCAGGATTAGAAAWCTATTGAGGGTTAAAATACAAAGCCTTGCTCTGGAAACACGTTAGTTTAGTTAATTATTACTTTCAATTTCCTGAAATTGTTTCAGGGGTGGGTTCAACGTGCCACTTTTTAAGTGTGTCGCTTTGTTTTAGCCCAATTAAATTTTAATGATCACATGGAACAAACAAAATCATAAAATCGAGTTTTGATAAGAAACATTAGTTGAAGCAAACTGTTTTGCATGTTTTGTGGAATTAGATAATCAGATAATATTTACGCGTGGGCTTTGTTTTCTTATCAACTCCTGTCTGATACTGTCTGGTTTATAAATAGTGTCCAAAAAATTCATTTTCACACTATTTCCGCTGTTTATTCAAACAAATATTCAGAGTGTGAAAAGTCCTTGATTTGCTTGCGATCCAGCATTCCCATTTTATTAAAACAATGCTGATTTTAGTGTCGATAAGGTGATAAATTCAAGTTTAAGGTCTCGATAAGTTTTTTAACGTGGAGTAAACATTTATTTATTTTTTTGAAGGTGCGAATCGCCCACGTTTGACATTTCTTATCTGCAACTTTATTGTAAACAAAACTATTTATCAAACGTAGATTTTTTCAAATTTTTTGCATCGTTGTATCGAGTATTGGGACAACCGTTATATAAGTGCAGTTTGATTTTCCAAGAAAATTGACGGCCTACTAAACTCTTGTAATTAAGTAAATGTTAAGGTATCAATTCCTAATTCATCGATTAATTTATTACTAAATTAAACGCTCCGTAATTATTGGTTTTCGAAGTTGCAGTATTCCTCCAAGACAACTTTCTAAATATCTTTGCAAATTTATTAGATCAAGGCTTGGCAGTGGGTTCACCTGCTATTTTCGAAATTATTTTGCAATAATCAGCTGWAGCATCCGAACTTTGGAAGTTTCCTTGTATTTTGTGTTGGTTTTGAGATAAAAACGAAACGAATACCGCTAATAATGCGACTGACACGTGTAAGGCGTAGGCTGTAATTATGGAATTTTTTCATAACTTTGTTATTTGAATCTTACTCACACCGGTATGTAGAAAAAATTTTTCCAAGTTTTTTAACTTGGAGACAAGTGACGACAGATTATAAAACTAGAGTATATTAAAAGAGTTGGGACACTAAAAATTTTCTCATTTTTTTATATACCGTGTTCAAAAAATCGCGCACTTCTTTGAAAGGGAGTAATTGGGTAGTCCACCAGAGTAGGTACTGAAAAACTGTTTAAAAAATTCTATCTGTCAAAAAATTTTGACATTTGACATTTTTTAAAGTCTATTTAATGATACTGATGATCTTGTATATGTTTTTTATAATTATTTACTAAAGGTACAAAAATTTTGTCAATAAAAGCCTCAAATAACATTAAACAAGTGCAAAATTTAAACTCTTATAACTTCGAAATTTTTATAGATAGAATTTTTTAAACATTTTTTCAAAACTCTGGGGGACTACCCAATTGCTCCCTTTCAAGGAACTGCGCGACTTTTTGAACACTCTGTACATCGGCTGATGTATAACAATAAGATTGGTGGCGTTTCCTTTAAATTTAACAAAAGGTCAAAAATATTTGTAAAATATTATAAATAAAAAATTGACAAATAAAAATTAAAAATTYAAATATAGGAGATCTATAGTGTTTTTCAGTGCCATATTCAGTGCTTTCACAAATTTGTTTAGCTTTCAAAAATGACAAATCGTAAAAAGAGCATATCATTTTTTCATAACTTTGTTATTTGAAATCTTACTCACACCGGTATGTAGAAAATTTAATTTAGCCAAGTTTTTAACTTTGAAACAAGTGATGACAAATTATAAAACTAGAGTATATTAGAAGAGTTGGGAMACTAAATGTCAATTTTCTYATTTTTTATATACATAGGCTRATGTATGTAACAATAAAATTGGATACATATCGACTTTAGGGCAAAAACATTTGTAAAATAAAAATTCACAATTAAAAATTAAAAGTTCAAATATAGGAACTCTATAGTGTTTTGCAGTGCCAAAGCCAGTGCTTTCACAAATTTGTTTAGYTTTCAAAAATGACAAATCGTAAGAAGAACATGTAATTCAGTTCAATTAAGTTTTAACTAAATTGTTCTAGGAATGTGTTCATTTTCTACAAATTTTGAAAGAGAATTTAACAAATAATACACTTTATTTAAAACACAATTAATTTCTTTTCATAATTTAATAAATACTTACAGATTTGTCAACAAGAAATTATCACCTAGGATTTGAATTTTTAGGAAAATTACGTTTTCCAYGTTGTTTGTAACTAGAATTTTCAGAAGTAATTTTGAATGCTTAGGGTTGGTTACCCCTTGTTATTGACGGTTGACTTTTTCTGACAACTTGCTGTCAACTGTCAATTGAGTTGTCTATACAAGCTGACAGGTGACTTAACGTAAATGTTTGACACTAGTTACAATATCTTTTGTTTGTCGCTACAAACCCACGTAACCAAATTTATGTCAACYTATGCACGAATATMCCTAAATCCTAGGGAGTAATKTCTTGTTGATACGATAATACTTACTCGCGCCTTGGAGAAAAATTTCAAGAAAGATAAGATACTAGAAATATGTAAAAAATTATCTGTCAAAAAATTTTGACATTTGACATGATTGTGTCTATTTAATGATACTGATGATCTTGTATCTGTTTTTTTTTTAATAATTATTACGTAAAGGTACAGTTGGTGGACAAAAAAAACTGGTACAATCAATTGCTCAATGTGTACCAAACCAAACTTTTGAATTGTCACCCAATTTAAAAATGACCGTTGAAGCTCTTTGAACCTAAAGAGATGCTAGATTACTTGTGTTATTTATAAAACCCTTGTAAATGTAGACAGCTTTRAAAAACTGAACTCCAACTTGATGTTTGTGACAATGTCATAACTTTTACAACCTTATTTGTAAAAAGCCAAACTTCTGGTTTTTCGACTTATAGAATTGTCATGTTTGTCTCAGTTTTTTTATGTCTACCGACTGTATAAAAATTTTGTCAGTAAACGCCACAAATAACATTAAACAGAGTTACAATTTAGGATACCTCTTCTAATTGTTTGTAGCAAAAAACCTTGAAAAACTATTTTTTCAAGAGAAATTAATATGTAAAGTCAAAGTGTAAAATTTAAACTCTCATAACTTCATCATATAGAATTTTTTTAACATTTATTCCATGTTTCTTGTATCTTACTTTACATGGTATTTTTCTCTGGGACGCGAGTTCTAGCGCACCCTGTATATGTAGACATAGGAACAACAAATTGTTTCGATTTGCTGTATAATTCGTCTTTCTCTTACTTCAGGAAACTCTATTGATTGCACTGTTTTAACTTATGGACTTTGCAAAGTTGTGTAAAATTATTGTTATACTGTTATACACTTTATCTACATAATACAAAATTGGCTCGGTTTGACGTTCAGTGTCACAAGTCTTCAAGGAACTCTAATAAGACAAGTGTATTGTTTCCAGTCAACATTTGCAAGCAGGATAATGAGTTTTTGTTGTCATGTGCTTAAAATGTGTTATAAAAAAATCACGATTTTTATCAATTGTGACGACTGTTTGGACACCTTTATGATTGTTGACTTATCTGGCCATAACCAGTTTCGTTTTATCTTAGTCAAGTTAGCGTTTAATTAATTGGTTTRCCTTTGCGGAATTTTTAATCGAGTTTTGTTAATTTGCATGTTGATTGTCATACGATTTAAAAAGCGACGAGTTAACCTTTACTTGAAAAGAATTCAAATCGATGTTAGTCGCATTTGAATGTAATTTGCAACCTATGGATTTTTGTAAGTTTCTGCACGGAAGGTTGAATTATATTGCTTCCGGTAATTAATGCAAATGAAAATGATATTTCACATCGGGATGATTGACTGAATTTGTTTCAAAGTGCCAAGGCTTTTTCTTGACATTGATGCAGATCAGACGGGGTGAAATGATGTTTGTCATTGGTATTAAACACTTCGTAGGCGTATTTAAACATTGCTCTTGTGGCGCGAAGGTTTGTTGAATTACAAATTCATTATTGATAATCTGTTTACATTTACTGTCAGAAACATAACGAATTGCGAAATTAATTTCACCCATAATTTACAATGTTATTGTCTTGATAAGTTCTTAAGCTATTTTTCTAGGTCATGCTATCTCCAAAACGTGCAATATTTTAATTAGTGCACGACTCTTATCATCCATTACCCTCTTGAACCCTTTTCTGCATACAAACTGACGCGTTTTATTTATTCCAGCTGTTTATTGCGATTATGCGGCCTCTGGGAGATCCCTTCAATTCATCGAAGAATATATCACACGTGAAGTTCTTCCAAGTTATGGAAATACACATTCGACTACTTCCATAACGTCTCTTCAGTCCACTAATTTTAGGTGAGAGTAGAAGAAGTAAAAAAGAAAATTTGGACGATCTTTACGTAGTTTAAGGTCAAAAAACAACTAAACGAAGAATAATGCGTTTTATTTTTTCTCAAATGCAGTTTTCTGATGTTCAATCTATTTATAGAGTATTTTGGAATTTTTATTGTAAGTAATGAAAAATATCAGGAGTAAACCACATTTTAAATTTTACACACCAGTTTTTTTCTTTGATTTCTTCTGATTTTTT